GATTTACAGCATTTGCAGTTCTTTTGGTTTTTATTTTATAATGTTTACCTTTAGTTGGCTGAGCTTTGTATGTTTTCTTGATCACACACTTCTGTTCCCTTCTCTCTGGATAATTCACCATCTTCAGTATGTTTGTGGTCTCCACTATCATCATCTTTCAGGGATTGGTCTTTGTGAGCTGCATCATCTATGTTTGGATGAAAGGGAGTTATGAGTGACACTGGAAGCTGTGAGATACTGACACGTTCCTTTCTGGATAATTGCAGAACAGCAGTATGGCAAGAGGACCAAGATTCTTCAGGCTGATTTTAATCATGGTGCTGAGATCTATGGGCCAATTGAAGCAGCGCTGAAGGATCTGAACATTGGAATCCTGGGTGATTTCTTCATTCATCCCTCAAGTTCAGACTTTTCAGGAAATGTAACAGATTTCAAAGATTAAAGGAAAGGGTCATCAATGTATATGCTGTAATTTGTGTATTATTTAAAAAATGGGAGAAGTTAATCAGAGAACACTTCAGAATTAAGCTCCACAACAAGCCTATTGGATATAATCAATAGCACAAAGGATTTGAGGGTAGTGTTACATTACAACATTGAGAGAGAGTTGATTATATTAATTTGGGTACAAACTGTAATACAAGTAACTGGGTGAGTGGGGTCACAGAGCTGGATATTTTGTTTTGGTTCAGTTCTAATTGTAATTTTTAAAATCTTATTTGTTTCAGTGAACAATGTTGGTAAAACCTACCAAATCCTTCCGTGTTACTTCCTAGATGCCCCAGATGTCGAAAAGGTGTAGTACATTTCCTCAGATCTCCGACTCTCCTTTTCTAATTAATCCTCCTTGTGAGGTCTGTTTTTTGTCATCAAATTGGAACATTCACTGTCAGGAAGTCAGTTGTTGGAATGAAACTCCTTATCTGTGTGGTTATAAAGGGCAGTGGTAAATTTGAGTTTGGAACTTTTGTTGGCCTGTTCCCATAACACAAAGTATGATCTAACTCAGCAGCAAAAGAATAAAGGCTAAAAGGTGCATGTGTGAAATGAGAAATGGCTTTTATACTGTGTGCTTCTTCTGGGGCTGGTTTTAAGGTTGTCACCTTACAGGATTAATTGCGGTGACTACTAAGGCCTTGTCTTCTTACCTTCACCCCTCACCTAAGATTCCTCAGGTTAAACTCACCACCAGTTATGTGTCTCCAATGAGAGTAGCCTATGGCCCTCTGAGATTACTGTAAGCACTTCAGGGGTAGGAGGTGGGTGGAGTAATTTTATTAATTTGGAAAATATTGGAGATGAGACGGACAGGCTGTTTGGATGGGGAGAGTTCCATGACAGGACATCGTCTCAGGAAAATCCTCCAGCAATAAATGCAACCAGAGATGGTAGCCGTAAACACACCAGAGGTCTTTGAGGAAGACCTGAGGAAAGGGTCAGAACATGTGTTTTCTAATCAACCTGCTCAGACTTTATTACATGCCTCTGGAGCAGGTGAGATTTGAACCCCTTGGGGTTAGAGCAAATTACACCATAGTCTATTCATTGCATTTTGTGTACTGTCTGAGAAATGGTATGCTTAAGTGCTGCTAGCTCTGTTTACCTAATTTCTATTATCATGATCAGGCGATGACATCACCAATAAGAGATGAGGTATTCACTGCCCCTTGACATTCAACAGTGTTGCCACCACTGATTTCCCCCGCTATCAACATCCTTAGGGTTACCATTGACCAGAAACTCAACTGGACTCACCACATAAACAGTGGTTACAGGAGCAGGTCAAAGGCTATATCGCTGTTCCTTCAGTGTCACTGGGTCAAAATTCTGGAATTCCTCTCTAAGGGCATTGTGGAACAACTTACAGAAGCTGAACTGCAGTGGCTCAAGAGGCAGCTCACCACCACCTTCTCAAGGGCAACTAGGGATGGGCAATAAATTATGGCCAGCTAATGATGCCCACGCCCCATGAATGAATAAAATAAAAGACACAGAAGGTGTACAGACTATCATGATTGTTCTCTTCAATTTGCCCAAGGGCCTGCTCAAAGTATCTGACCTCTGATCCAGAAGGGTCACATACAGTCATGCACAACTGAACTTTGTGTGTTGCATGACGTAATGTTCCTGTCATTTTTAGTTCCACCATGGCTTGTTAGTGCTTTTAAAAAAGAAGACATGTACTATTTTATATGAGGGCAGCCTGCCAATGTGGAGGAACAAATCAAAGAATTGGGATTAATTTCTGATTTTTGATGCTTGAAACACCCAGGCTAAGACCAGTTTGACCTGTACTAATTTGTCAGGGCAAAGGTGAGGAAATCAGCCAAGGTCCCTGCTCCAAATCATTACCTAGTAAACCATGTGGAAATGGTGCATGTTTATGTCCAATTAAAGAACTGGGTATAACTGAATGATAAACAGTCCCAGCTCTTGCGGTGTGGGCATGCATATAGAATGTCCTTGGTTCCCATGTAATTGTACCTCAGGAGTAAGTGGCTTGAAGATAGAGTGTGAAATTGGAGAACAAATTTTAAGAAAGTGTGTAAAATCAGGTGGCTTCTAGGGAGAAATTTCTGAATTATTATTGTTTTTATATTTTTAGGAAATTCTTGATATAATGAATTGCAATGTACTCTCTGTACTGATGGTGAGTATTTAAATATTAAAGTAGTGTGTTTAATTAAAGAGGCACTCTCCTGTGTTTGTCTGCAGATGATCATACAATTAATGTTGTAATGTAGTGTCCTATCTGGAGTGAGAGACTTCTTTGATGAAAGAGACAGAATGGACTAGTTCTGATTGTTTCACAAGCTCAAGCTGCCCCAATAATTCCAGGAAAAAAAACAATACTACCCAACCCCAGTGCAGTGAAGGGGCACATGATCCAGGACTATTGGGAGGTTCAGACAACAGTAGAGGGAATGAAACTCAAACACACACTAAAACTGAAGCATGGGATTTACCAGTAATACATTCAAGAGTTTTAGAATAAATATTTGCATCCAGTCAGGGTTCAAAATAGCCTCCCACAAGTTAATGGTAAAATTGTACACTTGTCCAAAAAGGAGCTAGATGAGTATTTTGTTAAGAATGGTTTAGGGATGCAAGACAGGTTATTCAGCCCCTCAAAGTTGTTCTGCCTTTAGAAGATAAACTTGAGTCAAATGCACTAATTGCAGCAAGACTAATAGAATTAAAAATAGTTTTGTCTAGATTGATGCACTGGAGCAACTCAACGTAGCTCCTCCAACAGCACCTTAAAAACCAGCAACTTCCATCACTTAAAAATGCAAGTCTAACAGATGCATGGCATCACCACCATCTGCAAGTTCCTCTCCAAACCACACACCATCCTGACTTGGGGCTATTGTTGCTCACTGTTGCTGGCTCCCTTCCTAACAGCACTGTGGGTATACCAGCCCCCAGAGGTTCATGAAGGCAATCACCACTGTCTCTCAAGGGGAAAGAGGCGATAAACGCTGCCGTAGCTGGTGATGCTCATGTCTCATGAACAAATTTTTGAAGTAGTTTGGGATAAATTTATCACTTTGCAAGTTTTCTTGTAACTTAGGCAAAGAAGGTTACATAACATGGGTTGAGTTCATTCAATTAGTTGGCATGTGCTCTGTAGAAGAAACTGTTGTGATAGCGTTCTTCCTACTTGAGATAACCTTTTTCTTATGGATGTCTTGAAATCCCTAAAATTTGCTTTCTAGTCCTCCTAGCTCAACGTTTCTCAGTCATAATTAGCATAATGTTTTATTTGTGATTGACCTTTTATCACTATTTGTCCAATTCTACCCCCCTTCACCTGCTGATTCTTTTCTAACGTTAAATTCACAATGATTGACTACTTATAGTACTTGGTCACAATATGAACCTGTCCTCACCTGATGCCACACTGAAGTTGTCAACAGAAGAGCAAGGCAAATCAGTGCAGTGATTTTCTTTTCCTTCCTAGAGAAGGCATCTTGGTGCCTTGAACCAATTTTGGGTCCAAATTAGTGTCCCAACTTTGTTCAGCTCATTTCACTGGGACCCTCTGAAACCTATTGGTGTGGCCCAATTGAGGAAGTTACTGGGGAGCTTGATCTTGCTATCTGGAAACTTCATATTGCATTTAGTCAATGGTATTTTACCTTTGATGGCTGGATTCAAATCCACCCTTGACTAATGGATTGCATACACCTCTATCAGGTTGATCCTACAAAGAAGAAATCTAAATTCAGTTCTTTTTCTATTAGTTCATGGGATGTGGTATTTGCTGGCTGGGGATGGGCAATAAATACTGGCCCAATTGCCCCTGAGAAGCTGCAGGTATAGGTACACCGACAGTGCCATTAGGGAGGGAGTCCCAGGATTTTGACACAGCCACATTGAAAGAATGGTGTTTTATTTCCAAGTCAGGATGGTGAATGGCTTGAAGTAGAACTTGCAGGTAATGGTGTTCCCAAGTATCTGCTGCCCTTGTCCTTCTCAATGGTAGTGGTCCCAGACATCTTGCTGAATATGGACCTACAGGAGTAAAATACCTGTAATTTAGCACTGGTTTGATGTTGGCCTTGGCTCAGTGGCAAGCCCTTTCAGCATCTCAGTCAGAAGTCCAAATCCAACTGATAAGACTGGACCATATAATTCAAGGCTAATGTGTCAATGCAGTACTGGGGCAGAGTTGCACTGTTGGAGGCGCTGGTTGTCAAATGAGATGCTAAACATGACTGCTGTCGAGAATTTAAAAGATCCCTTCTTATTATTTTCAAAGAAGAAGGGAGTTCTCCTTGGCGTCCAGATCAGTATTTATCTCGCAGCATCTGCAAAAGAGATTATCTAGTCACTTAACTCATTACTATTTTTGAGAGCTTGCTGTGGAAAAATTCACAGTTGTGTTTCCTGTGTGATTACATTTCAAAGTAGTTTTATAGACTGAAACAGTTTGGGGCGTCCCAAGGTCATAAAAAGCGCTATAGAAATGCAGGTCTTTCTGTTTCTTTTAGTAGTTGTTTTACTTGGTGATCTTAAAGCAGTTGGCAGAAATTAATATTGCCATCACTACTACAAAAGAAGACGTCCTTCTAAAATTATTGATCAAATATGTTGTAGGGCCAGATAGAGGGAGCCTTCATCTCCACATGGATGTGTTCCCCCGAAACTTGGTTCATTTGAAGCAAGTGTGTGCCTAAGTGCTTGTGTAAAAAAAAAAGTTCATCCTTGGCATTAATTTTCCCTCTCCTCAATTAAAATAAGTTTGTACCCTCTCTTTCTTTGTCCTTCTCAACTAAAGTCTTCACAAAATAGCAATTGCACTTCCAAACTACATCAAATGCTGTTTTGAACTGTCAAACTGTGGCAAGGTAGTATTCCAAATTTTCTTCTTACTATTTGCTTCACTATGTGTTCCCTACCTACTCCCAATGTTTTTGCTGGACACTGCTGAGTCTTGGTGTGTTGCAACCTACAGCACTGAGCTTCAAATCAGGAACTGCGTGGCAGTGATGTACAAAGCCACGATCCACACAGCAATGATAACAGGTCATTTCTCTGCTATTTTGGAAAATCATCATTATGTATTGTGACAACAATACTTCCTCTGGCACACAGGGATAGTTAGTTTCTTTTTGCTCCCTCTGACAATTCAAGCTGAAAATCTTATTATGGATTTGTAATTTTATTTTGACTCATTTTTTGCCTGATTTAATGACATTTCCAGCAGTAAAAATCTATAGGTACTCCATCATTATGATCAGATCCCACAATTATAACAACCAGCAGTCCTTGCCAGGACCATTTGATTGACAAGAGACAGGCATATGCTGCACACTCTGGATATTACATCGCCAAAATTGACAGCATCCACTGCCATAACATGATACCATCTTCTTTGACTCATAAACTTGAACTCACCTAAAACTCTATATCTTAACACATACCCAGTACCATTCAGTTATCATCCTATACTTTGACTTGCACCATCTCCTGGCCTAGTCCAGTAATGCCTTAATTTTATAAATTGTTTCCTTGTCTATAATTCCTGTCATGGCCTTCCCCTTCCTTATCCCTGTAATCTTCTCAGCTCTTCCTACATCCTACCACTATTCTTCAATTCCCTCCCTAAATCACTTTCTCTCAGGTCTCACAGAACAGCAAGGTATTGAAAGAAACATTGGGAGGCTATTTTGAGTTCACAGTTTTCAACAATTGTAGCATTGTTTAATTTAAAGTGTGGTGTTCATATCATGTAATGTCTCTTATGTGTGTGTAATTTCCAATTCATATTCTATCCTCTCTGCTAGATGACAAGAATTGTCCTGCCTCACCTACTGAAAAGGTACAGCAGCAGCTTGTTACTTCATAAGCTACATTATTATCAAATGTAATCAGAGGGGCTTGATGTGGAGACAGGTGTTCAGTTTGATGTGTATTACTACTTGTAATTAATTATGTCCGTTTCATGTCATGAGATATCAAAGTAAATTGAACCAATTGTTAAAATTCTGATTTTTCGCAATCAGTTTGCGTACCACGTTTACTTTCTGGCAATCAGAAATTCAGTGGGAAGCTGCATTTGGATGGCATCCATTCACTACCGCTTAGAGTCATAGAGTTATACAGCACGGAAACAGACCTTAGGGTCCATCTCATCCACGCCAACCATATACCTAAATTGAGTACAGTCCTATTTGCCAGCATTCGGCCCATATCCTTCTAAACCCTTACTATTAATGGATTCATCCAGATGCCTTTTAAATGTTGTAAATGTTTCCACTGCTTCCTCTGGTAGCTCATTCCGTATGCTCACCACCCTCTGCATTTTCTAAAAAAAAAAGTCGTCCCTCAGATCCTTTTTATATCTTTCCCCTCTCATCTTAAACCTGAGCCCCTCTAGTTTTGGACTCCTCTATCCTGAGAAAAAGACCTTGTCTGTTCACCCCATCCATGCCCCTCATGATTTTATAAGCCTCTAAGGTCATCCCTCAGCCTTCAATGCTCCAGGGAAAAAAGCCCCAGCCTATTTAGACTCTCCCTACAATCCAAACCCCTCCAATCCCAGCAACATCCTTGTAAATATTTTCTGAACCTTTCAAGTTTAACAACAACTTTTCTACAGCAAGAATCAAATGCAGTATTCTAAAAGTAACCTCACCGATGTCCTGCACAGCCGCAACATCCTATACATCCTTGCACTGACCAACAAAGGCAAGCATGCCAAACGCCTTTTTCACCACCCTGTCTACGTGTGACTCCACTTTCAAAGAACGATGCACCTGCACCCCTAGATCTCTTTGTCTGGCAACACTCTCCAGGGCCCTCCCATCGACAGTATAAGTTCTGCCCTGGTTTGCCTTACCAAAATCAAAACACCTCACATTTATTTAAATTAAACTCTTCCATCCATTGGCCTACAGGCCAGAGCACCTAGAACTATATAAAGTTCCTTTTTGTTAATGACCAACATCACTATGGATATAACTGCTTTTCTAAATTGTGACTGTTTCACTGGTGTAGTGTTTAAATAACTACATACTCAGGAACAGAATCCAAGATTAAAGCAATGTCTTATGATTTGTAAGATACTAGTTGCAATTCATATACAACACCCAAGTACCATCTTAAAGCGCAAAGGCTTACAGGACAACAGGCCATTCAGCCCATTATCCTGCACAGTGTTCTAAACAATGCCACAGCTCAGCTCTGTGCCCATGGCCTTGCAACAGTTTCCTTTGAGTTTACAGCAAACTATTTTTCCTATTGAATCTCTCTTTTAAGTGCCCTTTCATTCAAGGATATTCCAGATCGTGGTAATTCACTGCATCAAGGACAAAACAAAATCTCCTCACCTCTCAGGTTCTAAGGGCACTGTATCAAACATTTATATATTTTAAAATTCTTTAAAAAAATAATTATCCTCAGATCTGTGCAAAGTTGGAAAACCATCCACTCAAACTCTCTGCTCGGCCTAAGTATGTTTAGGAACTGCTTTTCATCATTTACGTAAATGATTTGGATGTGGACGTAAGAGATATGTTGAGTAAGTTTGCAGATGACACCAAAATTGGAGGTGTAGTGGACAGCGAAGAACCTCTGGAGTACAATGGGACATTGATCAGATGGGCCAATGGGCTGAGGAGTGGCAGATGGAGTTTAATTTTGATAAATGTGAGGTGCTGGTCTGTTAATCCAGAGACCCAGGTAATGTTCTGGGGACCTGGGTGCGAATCCTGCCACAGCAGATGGTAGAATTTGAATTCAATAAATACCTGGAATTAAGATTCTAATGATTACCGTGAATCCATTCCTAATTGTTGGAAAAACCCACTGGTTCACTAATGTCCTTTTATGGAAGGAAACTGTCATCCTTACCTGGTCTCGCCTACACATGACACCAGACCCACAGCAATGTGGTTGACTGCCTTCTGGGCAATTAGGGATGGGTAATAAATGCTGGCCTAGCCAGTGACTCCCTCATCCCATGAATGAAAAAAAAACTTAGGAAAGGCAAATCAGGGCAGGACTTAATGGTATGGTCCTGGGGAATGTTGCCGAACAGAGAGATGTTGGAGTGCAGGTTCATAGTTTGTTGAAAGTGAAGTTGCAGGTAGATAGGATAGTGAAGAAGGTGCTTGGAATATTTGTCTTTATTGGTCAGTGCATTGAGTATAGGAGTTGGGAGATCATCTTGCAGCTGTACAGGACATTGGTTAGGCCACAATTGGAATACTGCATGCAATTCTGGTCTCCCGCTATAGGAAGGATGTTGTGAAACTTGAAAGGGTTCATAAAAGATTTACAAGGATGTTGCTAACGCTGGAGATTTTGAGCAATAGGGAGAGGCTGAATAGAGTGGAGCTATTTTCCCTGCAGCCTCAGAGGCTGAAGTATTAAAGGAATATTGTACTTCTGGAGGCACAATCTTTAAGTGCAAAGTTAAAGTCTTGCCCCCTATCTCCTGTCTGTGCCCTAATAAATCGCCTCAAATCTTTTCTCCCACCCTTTCTAATCAGTGTCCTACCATGAGTCCTAAAACAAAAACTGCTTCGATTTTTATGTATTTGTTTTGAACTTGGCAGGAAAAAGGGCATCATCATCAACATTTCTTCAGAAGCTGGGACTCACCCACATCCACTTATCACCATGTATTCAGCTACTAAGGTATTTTGTAATATTATTCTTTTAACTGTCTTAGGTGAGAATTTTTTTGTCTTTTGAGTAAAAGGATCACTCAATAGAGCCTTGCTCCAGAGACTGGAGATATAATATAGGCTGATGCCCTGGTAAATATGTTATCAAAAGGTGCTGTCCTTTCGACAATCTGTGAAACTGAAGTTTGACAGACTACAGATGCTCAGTGAATGTTCCCCAGTTTTGAGACTGTACAGTAAACCCATCATTTATAATTGTGTTTGTTGAGTATAAGTATCATTGACTGAATCAGAATCATAAAATCTTAAAATATATAAGGAGGCCACTCAATCCAAATGCTGGGTCTTGAAAGAGTTTTCTAGTTTGTCCTAGTCCACCTGTCTTTTTTTCTTATAGCTCTGAAAAGTTTACCCCTTCCATGTCACTTACTTTTATAAAGGTTTGAAGTAAACCTTCCACCATTCTTCCCAATCACACCTACCTGCATTTTTTTTTGTCTCATCTGAATTTTTTGACAATTGTCTTTTTACCCCCTGGCTATCAACCTGTCTGCCAGAGTAAACAGTTTTTCCTTGTTTACTGTCATAACCTTGAACATCTCAGTTAATTCTGCCTTTGTCTGTCTCTGTTCTGTGGTGAATAATCCCAACTCTTCCAGTCTCTCTACAGTTGAGGTCTATAGTTCCAGATTCTAGTAAATTTGCACATTCTCCCCAGGCCTTGACATTCTTCACAAGATGGATACAAACCAGGGGTTTTGCACAGGTTTAGCATGACTTGAATGTTCTGTATGACAAATGAAGGGGGTCACAGGGCAATAGAATAGATAATTAGTCAATAGACAGTTCAGACTCTAATTTTATTTCTTTCTCCCCATAGGCCTTTGTTGATTTCTTTTCTCAAGCACTGAATGCAGAGTACAAGCCAAATGGGATTATTGTACAGGTATAACAAAGTGAATTACTTTTTTTGCTGTGACTGAAAATGCTCAAGCTAAGATTAGAATAGCAGAATAGAGTTCACAACTAAGAGGATGACTAGTATTGTCAGATGACCAAAATAGCTACTCATACTTTGCCTAATATCACATAGTGATGCTTCTTCTAATTTATTTTGAGCTGATGGCATTAGATGAACATCAGAAGGTTGTGGTTTTGAGCTCCGTTTTGAAGAATTGAACTTTATTGCGCATACACTCCAGTGCAGTCCTTTTTGAGATGGTATCTTCCAGATAAGATTTACAACAGACACAGTCTGCCCTCTAGGTTGCTCATAAGATATGTTGTCACTATTTTGAAAAGACAACAGAGGAAATCTCCCTGGTGTCCTCAACAATACCTAACCCCAAAACATTATCGATAACCGAGGATATGTGGCAATTTATCTTATCGCTGTTTGTGGGAACCTGCTGTGTGGAAATTAGTTGCTATATTTCCATTCATTACAATAGTGTCTACACCTTCAAAAGTATTGAATTGGCTGTAAAGCACTTTAAATTCACCAGGGTTATAACATATAATGCAACTTTTTTTTTTATTTATGGCCATTAAACTAGTCCAGTGACACCATCTGCCAGGGTTCATATATGGCAAATAGCAAACTGGGCTTGTTATTTATGGGAACAAAAGTAAAATACTTCAGATGCTGGAAATCTGAAACAAACAGAATGTTAGAGAAATTCTGCAGGTCTGGCACCATCTGTGTAGACAGAAACAGAGTTAAACATCTGAGTTTGGTATTACTCTTTTTGTTTTCATACCACAAGCTTGTTACTTATGGGTTTCTGGTCCATTTCAGACAGGGCAAAGATGTTGAAGAGAGAATGACCCTGGTGTGTTTGAGATAGGTGATTAGCTGGTTGACTAGGACTTAAGTCAGTATCTATCTTGAACTGATAGGAGTAAAGTTCCTCTATATCAACATTAGGTTGATATGCTGTTATGGTTAGGTGAGTTAAGATGGGAAGAGGCTTTTGTGGAGCATGAACTGGCACAGGCCAGTTGGGTTGATTTAGCTGTTTCTGTTCTGAATCTCAAACAAAAGCCACCAAGCCTCCCTCAATAGTACCTTCCAAACCTGTGACCTCTACCAACTGGAAGGGTGACGGCAGCAAATACACAATCACCTGCAAGATCTCCTTCAAGCCAGACATCATCCTGATATGGAATTATGTCACTAATCCATCACTCTTGCTAGGTCAAAATTTTGGAACTTCCTTCCTCATATCCCTTAAAATGCATCTATACCCCAAGGACTGCAGCAGTTCAGAAAGACAGCTCGCCACTTGTTTCAAGGGTAGCTAAGGACCAGAATACATATTCTCTAGTCAGTGATGCCCACATGAATCAATTTCAAAAAAATGTGTCAATCGACCATTACACTCAAAAGCTTTAGCTCAATTGATAGTAAATTTATCCTGAGTTGTGAGATTGAGATGCAAACCCTATTTCACTCAAATACGTAATACAGACTGGAGCAATGCTGAGGGAGTGATGCTTTATCACCGGTGCTGTCTTTCAGATGAGACGTTAAACTGAAGGTTCATCACCTATTCACTTTGTCACCATTTATAGGGAGATGGGTAGTTTGCTTGGTGTCCTGGCCAACAGTTTTCATTTGGGTAATACTATCAAAAACAGATCAACTGGTCATTACCAACACAAACACAGAAATTGCTGGAAAAGCTCAGCAGGTCTGGCAGCATCTGTGAAGAGAAATCAGAGTTAACAGTTCAGGTTCAGTGATCCTTCCTCAGAACTTCAACTGGTCATTTATTGAATTGAATAGTTGTGGCAATGACATGTTTGCTTGTCTAGCCATAATTCATACTTCAAAGTAATTTGTTAGTGTTTGGGAATGTCTCAAGAACAAAGTTTCCCTTCTTTTTCATCCAGTCCATGCTATTGCAAATGGTGCTTTATGCTTGATCAAATGCAATCATATTATCCGTGAGGTTACCAGCTGATGAAATTTCAAATAATACCTTTGATCATGAGTTAGATGACAACATGCATTTATACAGCGTCTATAATATAATAAAACACCCCAAAGCACCCCACACGAGTTTTATCAAATGCAATACCTAGGAGGATCTATTTGGTCAGACATCCAAAAGTTTAGTCAAAGAGGAAGATTTTTAACGCATGTCTTCGTAGAATCCCTGCAATATGGAAGAAGGCAATTCAACCCATCAAGTCTACACCAATCCTCTGAAGAACAGCCCACCCAGACCCCTCTCTCCACCCTATAATCCTGCATTTCCCATGGCTAGTCCATCTAGCCTGCACACTATGGGGCATTTTAGCATGGCCAATCCACTAACCTGCACATCTTTGGACTGTGGGAAGAAACCAGAGCACCTGGAGGAAACCCATGCCGACACGAGAAGAATGTGCAGACTCCCTGCAGACAGTCCCCTGAGGGCAGAATCAAGCCCAGGTCCCTGGCACTGCGAGACAGTAGTGCTAACCACTGAGCCACCTTGCCGCCCTGTGTCTTGAATAAAAGAGGGAAGTAGACTTGACTAGCAATGGAACAGCGAGGGGAAATTCAGGATGCGCAAGAGTCAGAATTGGAGGAATGCAGAAATAACCAACTTATAGGCCTGGAGGAAGTTAGATCAGGAGGCAGCAAGATTAGCAAGAGATCTATAAATGAGAAAATGAATTTTAAATTTTGGCTCCAGGTCAAGCAACACCACAATGTACGTCAGTGAGGTCAGCAGTGATGCATGAATAGAACTTGGTGTGAGTGAAGATATGGAGTTTTGATGAGTGCAAGTCTGAGTTTGGCCAAAGTATGATTGGAGTAATTGAATATTTAACCTGCTTTGTTGTACTAAATCTAAATAGTGATAAATCTTAGCAGAATTAAGAAAATACAAGCAACAGTCCTAATTTGTATGTTTAAACATATGCCCGAGTCTAACCATTTTTTTCAGTCTGTGTTGCCTCTCATGGTCTCCACCAACTTGACACATGATGTAGAAACCAATATTTTTGTGAAGCAAGCTGATGACTATGCCCGGGAAGCTCTGAATACTGTTGGGCTGAGAGAGAAGACAAATGGCTGCTGGTCCCATGCCCTGCAGGTAAATGCTAAATTAATAGCAGTAGTGTACCTTGGTATGAAAGGCCATTTTATATAAGGTATTCTGGAACAGCTAAGCAAAGATCAATTGGTCTGGAGAGGCAGGGAGATTACTGGGTGAAATGAAAATGTCACATGATAGCACAACACTAATACTACTGGATGGACTGGTAGAACATAGCACCTTGTTCTCTACATTTATACTTATTCCTGACACTACAGGGGATGGAAAGAATCATAATCTTGGCCGGAGCATGTCAATTAAGGAATTGAAGTGAGCTTTGTTTTGAAGGAGTGATTGACATATGACACTCTCACTCTCACATTCCAGTCTTTGAAACATAAAATGACCTGCAGGTTTCACAAGTAGAAGGACCTGCTCTATATTGTTTGTATGTGAATGGAGGGAGTAGGGGTGATAATTGTGTTGGAACCAGATGTCAGTTTATCCTGATAAGTTTTTTTTTGTTTTTAAAACTGTTTGTCTAGCATTTCTTCTTCGAAAGGCTGTTTCCAGGATGGCTCCGACTGACCCAGTTCAGCATAAATAATATGAAGAAACTTATCGAAAGGAGAAAGCCTTTAGTAGAGAAGTGGAAGAGTAAACAAAAAATAGCATAGCTGCAGTATGATTTGAAGGGACTTGAGTGGTGGGGGACGAGTATACAATTTTATTCTTTTCCAATATCGTCATTGTGTGGTTCTCTTATCTCTGGTGTTTACGATTTAGTTCAGTGACATCTTTAACATTATCCATCTAACTCCTCGGAATTTCAGACGAATGTTTAAAAGCACGAAATTAGTTAAATTGTTTCAGATAAGCAGAAGACTATTCTTATATTTAATTAAATTGTAAGTTTCTAAACATACAAGTGCAGTAAACAGTCAGAAAAATTGCAGGCTGTGCAAGGTTACCTAGAACAATGCCTTACAAGAGGACTGTAAAAATAATCAAATGTCGCAATTGGCTTGTTATCTAATGTGAAATTGTGTGTTCTGCATCCTGTTGTAGAAGTTGATAGATGTGTGTTGAACTACTTTCTGGCATCTAATGTAATAGTCATGCTTTCATAACTTGCAGTTATGTTCTGATTGTCTACCTAGTTCAAATGATCTGATGGATGAATCAACCTTAATTCAAAGTGATTCAAAGTAGCTCAAAAACAATACTTTCCAAAATTAAAGTCTCAGTTCTGATGTTATTATGACAGGAGGGCCATTTCATTAATAAATGATGAAGTTTCTACAAAGGAAGTGAGTTTACTTTCTAATCCATGCTGTACCCTGCCCTGGGAATGTTTGAAGGAAAATCTGTAGAGCCAGTTTTATTCTGTACTGCACAGATCTATCCTTCCTGAGAACCAATGTCCAGAACAAACTGCAATTCTTTAAATGGAAACTAAGGTTTGTACAACTGTCACACACCATCTATTCCTTTTTTTCAAGAAGGCTGGAACACAAAGGCCAACATTCTTTAAATGACTTTTGTACCTATCCACTAGCTTTCGATAACTGTACGTTAATTGTTTCCGTTCACTGTGCAAAGCATGACAAACAGAGTTACTGCCTGCCAATCTGAAATGTACCTATTAATTCCTACTCTTCGTTTCCTCTCTGCCAGTTTTCTATCCATCTCAATACACTCCCCTCTTATGCGGGACTTTCAAATGCTTTCTGAAAGTCCAAATATACCACATCGTCTGGCTCCCCCTTGTCAACTCTACCGGTTACATCTTCATTCAATTCCAACAGATTTGTCAAGCATCTTTCTCCTTCATAAATCCACGCTGACTCTATCTGATCCTACCACTGCTTCTAAATGCTCCACTATAAAGTCCTTGATAATGGATTTGAGAATTTTCCCCACTACTGATGTTAGGCTTACTGGTCTATAATTCCCTGTTTTCTCTCTACCTCCCTTTTTGAATATTTGAATATTGGAGTGACATTAGCTACCCTCCAATCTGCAGGGACTGTTCCAGATTCTATAGAATCTTGGAAGATGACCACCAATGCATCTATTTCTACAGCCGCTTCCTTAAGTACTCCGGAATGTAGATTATCAGGCCCTGGAGATTTATCCACTTTCAATCCCATCAATTTTCCCAGCACCATTTCTCTACTAATATCAATCTCCCTCAATTCTTCCCTCTCACTAAATCTTGCATTTTCCAACATTTCTGGTATCTGATTTGTGTCCTCTTTTGCGAAGACAGAACCAAAGTATGTATTGAGTTGCTCAGCCATTTCTTTGTACCCTATTATACATTCCCCTGTTTCTGTCTGTAGGAGACCTACATTTGTCTTCAACAGTCTCTTTCTCTTCACATACTTATAGAAACTCTTAGTGCCAGTCTTAATGTTCTCTGCAAGCTTCCTTTCGTACTGTATTTTCCCCTTCATAATCAATCCTTTGGTCCTTCTTTGCTGAATTCTAAACTGCTCCCAATCTTCAGACATATTATTTTTCTTGGCCAATTTGTATTCTTCCTTGGATCAGATGCTATCTCTAATTCCCTTTTGAAGCCATGGATTGGCCCTCTTACCCATTTTGTTTTTGTACTAGACAGGAATAAACAGTTGTTGCAGTTCCACTATGCATTCCTTGAACGTTTGCCATTGCCTATCCTGTCATCCCTTTAAAGTAGTTCTCCCAAATCTATCAAGGCCAACTCACACCTCATAACTTCATAGCATCCTTTATTAAGATTCAGCACCCTCGTCTCTGAATCAACTATCTCACTCCCCATCTTGATAAAAAATTCTATCATGTTATGGTCGCTCATCCCCAAGGGGTGTCACAGCTAGTTTGGCAGTGATTCTCTTCTCATTACACAGTACCCAGTCTAAGATGGCCTACTCTCTAGTTGGTTCCTCCACTTATTGGTCAAGAAAACTATTTTGTATACCCTCCAGGAATTCCTCCTCCATGGCATTGTGGTTAATTTGATTTGCCCAATCTATGTACAGATTAAAATCAACCATGATCATCAATATTCTCTTATCACGTGAATCTCTAAATTTCCTGTTTAATGCCATTCCCAACATCACCACTGCAGTTTGGGGGTCTATATATGACACCCACAAATGTGTTTTGCCCCTTTGTAGTTCTCAACTCAACCCATACAGACTCCACATTGTCAGAGCTGATATCCTTTCTCACTATTGTGTTAATTTCCTCTTTAACCAGCAATGCCACTCCACCACCTTTTCTTTTTTCCCTGTCCTTCCTAAATACTGAATACCCTGGGACATTCAGTTCCCATGCCTGGTCTCCATGTCTCTGTAATCCCAATTATATCGTAACCGTTTACATCTATCTGCGCGATTAGTTCATCAACTTCATTGCAAATGCTGTGCGCATAAAGGCACAAAGCCTTTGAGCTTGGCTTTTTAACATTGTTTGTCTCGGTCTTATTTTTCGCAATAGCCTTGGCACACATTTTACCCTTCCCCTCTGTAGCAGAACCAACTGTGGTGCAACAAGTTTGGCTGCTGCTGCTTTTCCCTGAGACGTCATTCCCCTCAACAGTATCCAAAGCGGTATATTATTTTGCAGGGGAATGGCCACAGGAGATTCCTGCACTACCTGCCTATCTCTCTTGCTCTGTCTTGTGGTCACCATTTCCTTCCTGCCTGCAGAGTCTGAGCCTGCGGTGTGACAATTTCTGTATACGTCCTATCCACGATACTCTTCTGCTTCGCAGATGCTGTATAATTATGCCTCCAGCCTCCACTCCATCTCTGAAACTCAAGCTTCTAGGAGCTGTAGTTGGAGACACTTACGGGACACATGCTGACCTGGGGGACCGGAACTGTCCCCGGTCTGTCACATGGAGTAAGAGGAGCAAACCAAGACGTCGAGCTCTCCTGCCATGGTTTACCTCTTTAAGTTAAACCTTGGAGAGTACTTTATATTAGATTAGATTAAATCAAATCCAGTTATCTATGGCCCTTCTTTCCTGGTCCACGTACTACCCTTACATATTAGAAATCAAAAAAAGTACTATAAGCAACAAAAGTTGTAAGGACTTAACTGCCTTACCTGTACTCACCGATCAGCTTCTCTCTTGGAGTCACCTGCTCCTACGATGCTGCGTTCATCCAGCCCTGTACCTTGTTGTCATAGGACAAGACCACTAACTTTCCCTCACTTGTGGTCATTACAGTGGCTTTTGTTTGGTTACAGGTTGGGAGGGAAACACTGAAGTAGTGTTTGAGCTTTAACTGTCCCTTGACAACGTCCCCTCCACATACCACTAGTTGGTAATGGTGACTGCACTGATGCAAATCTTCACCCCAACCACCTATCAGCATCTTCACAACCCTCTAATGGATGCTTATGTTCACTCAAGATAGGAGGGTGTCTTGCTGACGTCCTTCTTCTGGTAGTGGTGACTGTGCTGATGCAAATCTTCACCCCAATCAACTCCTTCACAGCCCTCTGCTGTCTAGCCAACTCATCCCCTAGTAATGAACAACATTTGTCTGTTAACTGAATTATCATTTTACTGTTTGTGAGCTCAATGCGATTTCCAATTAGGATGTTCATCACTTCATTTTGCTTATTAATCAAAACACAGTTGGCCACATTTGAAGTTCTCAGTTAGCCATTTGCTAATCTGAGGTTATGGATTGGGCAACACTTTTCTAAAGACCTGTTGACCTCTTGTTAAGAGCTTGGAGACATTTTGCATGATCACTAGCAAAATTCCGTTAAACATGGTGTTAGAGGTTAAAGAATATGTTTTATAAATTGTACAGATGAAATACTTAGAGTTAGCATCAGTGGCTTTTATCTGCATACAGAGGCTGCAAAGTTTTGCACAGAGGTCATATGCAGTCTGCTCTCTCGGTCAGGCTATATGTGCTTACACTTTGGCCCAATTCTATCACTCTTTTCTTATGCTTCTATTGCTGCAACTGCACGTAGCCAGGAAATCTGTCACGGTATGTTTGTCTGTTTTGCAGCAACATTGCGCATCCATTATAAATCATCTGCAACCAACTTTTTAGAGTTCTTTATATTCTTTTTGAGCACCACATATTTTGTCTTTTGTAATCTGTTTACGGGATTTTTCGCATATGTTTTAGCATTTGCATTTCAAAGGCCACCATTTCTTCCACAGATCTTTCTTGTGTGCCTCAACAACTTGGACAAGGTGAAGTTCATAGAATGTAATACCTCATGAATATTTTTCCTTGTTACAAAGCTTGAGTTTTCTTTGTTAATACGTCTTCCCTCTTCACAAAATTACTTTTGGATATCTCTTTCCTTTTACTTTTGCATCACATCAGCCATTTTCTGTTGTCGTTTTCCTCAGTAGACAAACTTATCTACTTGTTCCATTGTGACATCAGCCATTTCAATTCCAGTTTCTTCTAATGTATTATGATCCCAGATGATGTTACTACTAGCCAAGGGAGATCCCAGTTTGAAATCATGTCTGATAGATCATATTTTATTTACTTATGATTTAACGTGGTGATTTTTCACTAAACAAAAGCACACAAGGCTTCAGATTTGGTTTCAACAACAACAGAACTTTATTACACAAGAATTAAAAATAAAGTAAAACAAACCAAGCTATCTAAATATTACAGATTGCAAGACTATAAACAAAAATCTCATCTTTTCTTCAACACTTGCTTCATAATCAAAATCCTGAGAAATTTTATTTCCCTATCAAATTTACAGGTTTGGTTAACTGCTTCTTCTCAGTCCCTGGCTTGTGAGCTGTGAAATCTTTCTTTCTGAAATATTCTCACAACTGAGAGCTTAGACTGTCTCAGTCTTTTAATAACTTGCAGAGTTCTAACCAAGCACGACTGGTCTGGAAGATTTTAAGTTACACTCTCTCACTGAGGTAACTTATTATTTTAACTGCTCTGAATATCTGGATAACAAGGATACCTGCGTCAGGCTCCTAGAACATAGAAAAGTACAGCACAGTACAGGCCCTTCAGCTCACGAATGTTGTGCCGACCTATTATCCTACTAAGATCAAACTACCCTGCATACCCTACGTTTTACTATCCTCCGTGTGCCTATCCAAGAGTCGCTTAAAAGTCTCTAACGTATCTGACTCTTCTACCACTGCCGGCAGCGCATTCCACACACCCACCACTCTCTGTGTAAAGAACCTACCTCTGGCATCTCCCCATACCTTCCTCCAATCACCTTAAAATTATGCCTCCTCATAACTGTCATTTCCACCCCGGGAAAAAGTCTCTTAACTATCCACTCTAT